ATATCAGTTATTGTTTAGTTCACATAATGAAAATAGTTTTAGTTTTAGTTAACGATAATAACCCCAATTATTATCTATACTTCTTAATTGATATTAATTATCAAAATAAAAAGTAATTACGCCAACTATAATTCTAGTCGGCACACTAAAACATTTGTTTACACCAACAGAAGCTGTGTTTGGAAGTGACGACTGGCATTTTCCTTGATAAACACTTGCACACAAAGTCAGAAAGAAAAGCTGAAGATGAATGAGGCGAGGGAGATGAAAGGCCGTCACATCAGAGATGCCCGAGGGTGCGATTAATCCGTAATGAATGAAGATCACACACTGGCATAAAGTGCCTCCGAAACGCCGCTGACAGATGTGTTAATTGAGATGAGGAGGAAAAGAAGGAAGAAAACAAGACGTTAAGAAGCGTTTTGCCGCCAGAAAGTTATCTCTGAGGACGAGGCCAGTGGCAGCAGCTGTGTGCCAGGCAGGTTGGCATGTGCTTCTTCTGAACGCGCCAGAGCCGGATCTACAGCAGCGATCATCAGACTCTGTGTCTCTGCGTATGACGCCATGAGGTAATTAATCACACGGAATGTTGATGTTGCAGTATTGTGGGTGGTAACCAGGGCGTTGCTATGGGGTTGCTAAGGTGTCCTGAGGGATACAGTGTAACAGTTGTAAAAATTCCATTTATTTTCTCCATATTGAAATTCATTTTTAGTGATAAAGCCTTAACTCTCATGTTGGATTCCCCCCGAAAAATTGATAATTTTGGTGCTTTTTGGGGGTATTTTTAAACTCATGGTGTTCCCGGTCAAAAATGACCAGCCTACAAAAAAATTATATTAATATAATTGCATTATGCTATATTAATTTGATTCAATATTTTCATCAACCTGTTTTCTTTCAAATAGCACAGGTTTTGTATTCTGTAGCTTACTGTATATGCACTTCAGGTTTTGAGTGGATATTGCCACAAGGTGCAGAAGCTCAGATCAATGATGCCTACGATCATTCAGTTCCACAAAGAAATACAAAACCTGTGCAAACTGAAAGAAAACAAGTTGACGAGATTGAATCCAAGTATGATAATATAGCATAAAGATAGATTTACAAACTATTTTTAAAAGGCAGACAGGAACACCAAATTAGGTAAAGGATTTATAAAGGGTTAAAGACAAAAAAAAACACTCGTCCCTTTTAGACTTGCACTCTATTCATTTGCTGCTTGTTTTCTTTAAAAAAAAAACAACTAACTCTTGCTTTCTAATCTTTTTGTATTCTATCTGTTTTCTTTTCATTTATTATACAATTAACAAAAGCAAAAAAGACCTCTAACACTAGCTTGCTCTATTCTTTTTCTATTCAATCTGTTTTCTTTTTATTTATTATATTATTTAAAAAAAACCTTGCTATGTGTACTGTGTTAAGCTAACTGAGACTTGTTATAGCACTTGCGTATCATTGCTCTTTTGTTGATTTTGATTGCTTCCATTGTCCTCATTTGTAAGTCACTTTGGATAAAAGCGTCTGCTAAATGACTAAATGTAAATGTAAAGACAGATATACTGTAATATCCAAGGTTGTTAATCGTTGGTATTTGCTTCTTTTGAAGCCATTATTTCAACTTATTTTTTAAAGAATCATGTTTAACAGTGGAATTTGGGTAAAAACTACATTCCCCATGATTCTGTGAAGAAAATTTCACCAATCACAGAACAGCAGCGAGCTCTGCTTTTAAATTCCACCAATCAAAGAGTAGTTTTGAGCTCTGCTTTTAAATTCCACCAATCAAAGAGTAGTGTTGAGCTCTGCTTTTAAATTCCACCAATCACAGAGTAGTGTTGAGCTCTGCTTTTAAATTCCACCAATCAGAGGGTCGTGATGAGCTCTGTTTTTAAATTCCACCAATCAGAGGGTCGTGATGAGCTCTGTTTTTAAATTTCACCAATCACAGAGTTGAGGTGAGCTCTGCTTTTAAATTCCACCAATCAGAGTCTCACGGTGAGCTTAGCTTTTAAATTTCACCATCATTTTTAATTAGATTAAAGGGGATCGTGACGTAGGTATGTGGGGGCATGTTAGAACGAGGCGTTTTAGGAGGGTGTGGTTAACTCTTAACTTTTATAAAGAATATCTCTTTGGATTTGAGACTTTAGTCTATGCAACTTTACAGATCTTCTTTATGCACCAAGAGCTTGTAACACTCCAAAGAGAAAGGAAAAATTGAAATCACATCATATGACCCCTTTAAGTCAGTCGAAATGCTTCATGGGATTGTAGTTTTTTCTCCTCATTAAAGCTGTAAAGTTCAGAGTCTTGTACCGCTGTGTTCTTGTCAGATTTTCAAATACTATTTTGAGTCAAATCAAAGTTTGTACTGCTGTGATTCACCTCATAGCTGGTTGGTTTCGTTCATGGCTTACAATGCTTTAACAAAAACTAAAACTAAAAAAAAATCCCTTTGGGGGAACCACAGAAAAAGTGGGCGGGCACTATTAACATGTTGCTATTGTGGTTGCTTACCGCCCCAAGTCAGTTTTATGATATTATAGTCCCTCTTTGAAAGCTAATGGGATTGCAATCATTTAGAAACATATGCTAACAGCACATTTAAAGCCTACTGTCATATCACGAAAGCTTTGAGTAATTTCACCACCGAAAGCAAAACGGTTTGCATAAAACGTAAGCGTAAGAAACATCTGCCAGTCACCGTTAACGGCTGACAGAATGCGATGTACTTTCATTAGATTATCCCGCCACAAAAGGTCGTCTTGGGAAGAACTTTGGCCATAATGTCAGACTGCAAAAGACTTTAATGTAAACACGCACTAAAGAGAGTCAAGCACGGCGTGTTCCTGGTTCTATTCTCTACCACATGAAAGTAATTCATGACAGCTTGTGTGTATTTACTGGTCCTGGGGCTCAGTGTGAAAACTGAAATTTGGCAGCGTCTTCTAACAGTTTTTTTCAGGTAGTGAGAGCAACTGAGCAGTTGTAGCAAACAGCGCACACAACTCACAAGTCCAGACATCAACTCAGATGAAGCGGCTTTTTCATAATTGAAGGATAACTGGAGCTTTTTGCCAGATCAGGTTCCTCTGAGAGAGAAAACACTGGGCTGTTTCTCTTTTCCGTGACACGTCTCTGTTCAATGTATCGGGGAAACTTTAAAGCGTTTCTTTTTTTGTCTGAGAAATGTCTCAATGGTTTCTTATAAATCTAGCTGATCGCATAATGACCCAATATTGATGTACAAAATGGATTTTGTCTGGAAATACATCCTGACCTTCTTTGTAACCCAACCATAGGATGGATTATTCCTTCAATGCATCATATACAGCACTAAGAGCATGGCTGTGTTCAGAATAGCATGCTTGCATACTTTTCTTAATGTGCACAGTATGTGAAATTTCTGTATGCATGGAATGAAATTTCCAGTTGTTGAGCGTCCCAAAATGCAACATGCTCTATTTTACATTGGCTATCTTGGGAATGGAATATTTGCTTACTGTATACTGAATTCTATGCAGCATATACTATATACTATGAAAGCAATTTCCAGATCAGAATAAAAAAAAAAAAATCTTATTTATTTATCATAACTGTGACTATATCTCACAATGTGATTTTATTTCATATTTTAAAACTTATTTCTCAATTTTATTTTATTTTCTGTCGCAATTCTGAGCTTATATCTCACAATTTGGACTTTGTTTCTCGCACTTCTGAGTTTACATTTCACAGTTTTGTTTTGTTTTTTCTGCCATGTAAGGGTTTTTTTTTTTTTTTGCAATTTTTTTTTTATATCTCAAAATTCTGAGTTTATATCTTGGAATTCTGAATTTTTCTCTGAATTCTGAGTTGTTCACTTTTTTTCTTTTCATAATTCTGCATTTATATCTCACAGTTTTCCCAGAGTTGCAAATTGCAAAGTTGCAATTACCTTTTTTGCAATTTTTTATTATTATTATTATTTTATTTTATCCGATGGTGGAAATAGGATTTCATACAAAATAAAAAAAAAATTAAAAAAAACTGGTGTAGAAACAATTTTTACTCAGAAATTGTAAGTGATTTTCATTTCACAAATAATTACAAAGAAACTGCAAGTAATGCATTGAATTAAACATGACATTTTGAAGTAGAAAAATGTAAATAGTATTTTCTTGTAAAACATACTCCAATAATTTTTGTTTTTACTTAACAAGCACCACATTCTGAATAAAGATTAACATAATCAGGTCATGTGACGTAAAATACAGTTTCAAATGTTTATAATGAAATAAACCATAACACGATATTATGCATCCTGCCATAATAAACATTTTAAAAACTGCATTTCACATATGTTTCATTCAGCATTTTTTTGAAATAGTAAATAGATTATAAACAAAGATTCAGTTTTTCTACTTCAAAATTTTGTTTAATTCAGTGTTACTTGCTGTTTCTTTGTAATTTTTTTTAAAATTTACTAGCAATTCCTGAGTGAAAATGGCTTCTACATCAGTTTTTTTAAGTGTATCCACTGTATGTTGCATTTTTTTCGATTCAATTATGTACAAATTTATAGTCAGAAAATGTTACTTACTGCTAACATTATTCATGTTTCTTCATCACGCAAGAAGTTGAGAGGGTTTAAAAACAGCAGACAGTATGCAGTATGCACTGTGCAGTGCGCTATTATTCCATTGAGAAGAGGTCGAGGGGTTTGTATGGGCGCTCGCTCTTAAGAGCACGTTGACGGACAGACACAAGAGGCCAATACAGTAAACATTTTCACAAGTCGAGCGGCCTTGACAGCACGTGTTTGTATTTGCCTCTCGCCGAACACGCATGCTGCTCCTCAAAGGCCGTCTTTGTGCATTGAGGCGTGCTGAATCCATTTTTAAAACAGCACCGTAACACAATCTATGCATCAATTCATGCATCGGGCCATGCCACATCATTCATCTGCTTTTGCGTGCGCTAGTCACATGATGTGTGATATTTGGGGTGGTACTCACTTCGCGGCTCCCGCGGTCCGTCCACTGTGACCTTTATGGCTCGGTGGTAAGTAGCCACTTGCGGTGGGTTCGTGAATACTGTGATTGTCAGCGTGAAGCTCTTTCCTGCAAAACACAAAAAGGTTCAAACCCCATTATCCGCCGGACAATGTGTCACATTCATCGCCACGCGTCATTTGCATTTCTCTGCTGGTGACGGTGGGATTTTAACTGCGAGGAACTCAGCCGATTGAAAGGCCTGGGCGCAACGGACAAGAATGGAATTAGTTTGGAAAGTGACCCTTGCTGACCATTGAATTTATGAGTTGTTGGACATGACAAATCAGAAATGCATAAAAAAGACCATGTTAGAATTCATATAGCATTCATCCAAGTGGAATGAACCGTGTATGTCTCGTGCAAAGCAAGTATGAAAATATATATTTTTACGTTTTTAAAATATATTTTCAGTACATATATTTTGAAGTTATTAAATATATATTAAATTATTATTTTTAAATATATTTTTAGGCATATTTAAATGCATTTCATTGAAAGTTAGGGGGGCGTGGCAGAGTCTTAACTTTGATAAAGAATATCTCTTTGGTTTTGAGACTTTAGTCTTTGCAACTTCAGGGATCTTATCTATGCACAATCAGCTTGTAACACTCCAAAGAGAAAGGAAAACTTGAAATCGCATCATATGACCCCTTTAAGATTTTCAAGTAGAAAAACTAAAAAAGTATGTTGTAAAACCTACTCTAATAATCAAATTACAAAACTCGTACAAGCTTTCGACTAGGACCACTAAACAACCACCTAGCAACCACTCAATAACTCAACATATAATTTGATAGAATATGCATGGATGCATTTCCCATATACATGCATTTTGTAGAATTGCAACATTTTTGAGTCACCTAACATTGTTGTAGAGTAAATGTTACACAATCATTCTTGCTCAAGTAATTACTCATTCAAACATTAATTGAATACGCAAGTCATCAAACAACATATTTTCCCAGCTAACTCAAGAATGTTTTGCTAATGTTCGCATTAAGTTATAAAAAGGTTGTTTCTGAACGTTCAGAACGTCCAGTTTTTGAAAAGATTTAAAAACATTTGATCTTGCTGATGTGAACATTAAGGGAACATTCCATTTGATCGTTTGGCAAATGTTGTGGGAATGTTACCTTCAAATGTTCTCTGAATGAAACAAGTAGTAACATTTAAAAAACGTTAGACAAACGTCCAACTAAACTGTTTCAGGAAAAAACATTCATGAATGATGTATAAATAACGTTTTTGTGCAAATGTTTTGAGAACTCTATTAAAGACCAGGCAACTTTAAACGAACATTCTATTAACGTTACTGGAAGAACGTTTTTTCATAACTTTAAGAGAACCTTGCCAGAACGTTCGTCAAAGTTCCTGTTAGCTGGGATAGAACTGAGTGTTCATATTCAATTATAGAATAAACAGTCATGCATTTCCCATATACATGCATTTTCTAGATCTGCCAAAGTTTTTGATTTGCCGACATTCTTGTAAATGTTATACAATAAGTCTGGCTAAAGTAATGAGTCTTTCTATTTAATAACATTTTAGAGAAGAAAAAGTCATGCATTTCTCATATACACAAGTATTTTCTAGAACTGTAATATTTTTGATTTACTGACATTCCAGTTGAATAAGTCTTGCAAAATTACTCTTTCTAACATAGATTGAGCATATAATTAATTAAACAGCATATTTTAGAATAAACAGTCATGCATTTCTCATATGTTGTCTTGCAGCATTTTTGATTTACAGATATTTTTTACTTTAGAAAATAAGGTCTTACTACAGTAATTAACTGTAATTGAACACAGAATTAATTAAACAGCACATTTGATAGAATAAACAGTCATGCATTTTTCATATGCATACTTTTTCTAGACCTCCCACATTTTTTGGTTTCCTGATATTCTTGTGCATGTTATGCAATAAGTCTGGCTAAATTAATTACTCTTTCTATTATTAATTGAATATATAATTAATTAAATAACATTTTGGAGAAGAAAAAGTCATGCATTTCCCATATACACAAGTATATTCTAGAATTGTAATATTTTTGATTGACTGATATTCCAGTTAACCTTATGCAATAAGTCTTGCAAAATCACTCTTTCTAACATTAATTGAACATATAATTAATTAAGCAAAACTAATTTTATAGAATAAATAGTCATGCATTTCTCATTTGCATGCTTTTTCCAGAACTCCAACATTTTGGTTTCCTGATATTCTTGTGCATGTTATGCAATAAGTCTTGCTAAAGTAATTGGTTTTTCTTTTCTCCCACAGGAATCCGTCCATGAGCCCCCAAAAGCACGTTCGCAGACCCACCCGAGCCCGTCCCAGCGAGCTGATACCAAACACACACGGCGGCGCGGCCCTGCCCAGCGTCTAACCAACCCTGGCATCTGCCATCCATCCAACGGTTGCTGTCCAGCTGCTAAAAATATCCTAAACGCTGGCTCATTCAGAAGGGTTTTTCTGTTCGAAATGATTTCCTAAACAGAACGAGACAGACTGCATGTGAAATGCATAAAGTCCTGATCAACAACAAACATCCCGCCCTGTCCTAACCCAAGCAGCATATCCAAATCCATTCATAAATAAGGGTGCAGTACTTCTGAAAACACAGAAGCGTTTCTGCATAAATCAAGTGTTTTGTCTCAGGAAACGCAGTTGCTTTTAGTAACTCGAGGCGGCTTATTTTTTATGATGTCATTTGTTTGATTGTGGTCGATCTTATTCTAATCTTCCACATCGCGCCTCGTATCGTTTTCCATATTTAATTTCCTTATGCTGCGCTATCTCCTCCCTGACTTCCTCTTCCAGATCCCGTGTCATAGATAGAAGAAACTTAAGCCTGCTAAGGTGTGGGTCTCCATGCGGGCCAAGGCCCTGTTGACTGTGACAGCTGTGAGGAGATAACGCGGATGCGCACACATGCACACTGATAGCGTGTTGAGGGTGTGTGAGGACATGCATTGCTGCAGGAATGCGCTGAGACCAGCCGACCGGTCAGAAAACCACCGTCTGCACAGCCACTCCGACTGATAACCCATACGCCAGCAAATGAAACCACAGACCTAAAAAGTTGCACTAGACTGATTTATAGGGCGGATTATTGGCATATTCAGGTCCAAATGGCCGATTAACTGTTATAATTGTTCTAAAATCTATCAGCAGCTTTGTCAATGGATGATAAAAAAATCTCTTTTTCAAATATTTTTTGTGCATGTAGTGTAATTTAGTTATTTATTGTGTAAAGTAGTGGTTAACTGATTTACTTGTTCTTTTTATTGGCCAAAGCTCATAACAATAACAATATTTTCAAAACAGGATATAAAATATATTTTTATATTTATATTTCAAAATATCTATCTGAAATATTAATTAAAAATAATAATACAAATTGAATTGCCCAGTGCAGTTTAATAATTTTATATAATAATGATTTTGAAAAAAAAAATTTGAATAAAAATTAAAAATATTTTACACTTTATTTACTCAAAATGCACTATTATTATATATTTATATCTTTTCTTTTTAGATTTTGGAATTAACACTGGCAGAATGACCATTTCTGTTAGTAGTAATAAATCTCAATATCCAAATATCAGACAACGTTATCACATTCTGTATCAGCCATCAGCCATCGAGAAGCCCATATACAGTAGGTCGAGCGCACTTCCCCAAACACCTGGAGCAGTTTTTGAATGTTTTGAGTCTGTAGTTTGTGGGCGCCATGCGAGGGATTCCCTGCTGCACACGTCCGTGCCTCACTTTAAGTGCCCGTGTGGATTATAAGGGCAAGTCTAGACCGCACGCCCGAGTATACGCAGCCTCCAGCGGCAGACAGACTGCTCCTCTGATCTCACTGTCTGTCCCAGACGCTTCAAAGACCTGCGCTCTCAATGCCTTCTTCCGACAGGATCACAAGAGCGGGATTTTGTCTCTGACAATAATTGCAAGCATATCAAAAGCAGCATTCATCCACACATAAGCAGTCTGTGAGCACTTTGAGCCCGTGTTCACGTCTTAAAGACTTTTTTGTTTTTTGGGGGTGTGTAGGGTGGATGTAACAGAAAAGTATTAGATAGGAAATGGCAGTGAATGCAATATTTTGCTACAGTTATAAGCTTTGGGAATACTTAAATGACAGTCTTTTTTGGAAAGCACCCTTTTTCTTTGTTCTCAACATGGAAGCGCTCAAATTGTTGGATGCTGATGGAATATAATAACGCCTTTCTGTGATTCTCTTCCAATTCTGCAGCTCTTTCTTTTCAATATTTCTGTAAGTGAGGAATCTTGGACAGTGTCCTATTGTGTTCATGTGAAACATGCAATGTATAATTTGCATTAAAAAAAAGGCTACACAGAAGCCATGTCTTAAATTATAATCGATCTATTTTACCGGACTATTTGTGGTAAAACTCGACTTTCAGTCCATTTGGCTTGTGCACTGCATGCCGAAATTTTATTTCCAACATGTCATTTATTGTAAACGAAACATCTTGCGTGATTTGACCCTTTTTTTATGATTAAGCCAAAGCAAACGAAGCGGCCAGCGAAGAATAAATAGAATTAAAGTGGAAGTACCAACCTCTTCCACTCCTGCCAACAAATCTCAGGTCGTTGAAACGCGCCACCTGATTCTTCATGACAGCTGAGGCGTTTCGCAGCTCTCCCGAGTAGTTCTCGTCATTTCCTGCCATAACTGTCACCACCGTCGCGTCAGGAACATCTCCCAGAGCAACAACCTGAACAGAAACGGGCACACTGTGACTGTCACGCTGTAATTTACCCTGCATTTCACTGCAGTCTGACTGTTTATTCATAGACTGATGAAAACAGGCCTGTGTTACTGATTATAAATGACTTTATGAAGCGAGACTGCCGGCCTCAGGGGGTTAATAACACAATAAATCAATTAAAACCTGCTAGAAACAAAAGCTAGATTGTTCTTAAATGTGACCTTTTAAATTGTGTATGTAAGAAATTCCACTTAAATTGGTCAGAAACATCTGGTGATGTCAGTACAACTCAAATACACCAATACTTAAACATCACTAGTGATTCAGCAAAAAAAAAAAAAAAAAATCGAAAGCAAATTTATTCAACAGAAAAAAAAATATTATAAAAAAAATATATTGTAAAAAATATTCTAATTTTATTGCGTTATGAAATTTAAAATAAATATGAAAAAACATTTAGTTGATGATATAGATGCTTTTTTCTTAAATGCACTGTTTTAATCCGAAGGCTATTTCTTGCCTTTTTTTTTTTTTTCTTTTTTGAAACTTGGATTTTGCTACATAATGAAAATGATGCAGCAACTAAATCTTACTTGATACAAATTTTAAATATTGCAAAAATGACATTTAATTGAGGGGAATGTTTTGATGTTCAGTGTGAGCAGGGGGTGCTGGTTCAGCTTCACAAGCGCAAATAAATGAACAAAAGTATGTTTACAGAAGAAGCCCGAGCGAAACGGTTCCTGTTACAGATACTTTACACGCAGTCTGTTTGCATGAAATACTCTGTCTTTGGTCAAAGTATTAATAGTTGTGTGTAATTTAGGCCGTGTGATTAAACATGCATGTGTTTGTATCTATGAATAGCTTTAAATCTCTCAGATTTCACTTCTCTCTCTTTCCAGCACTGCAGGATTCCTCATTTTAAACATCAGTAACTCCCATTAAAAACAAACAAACAAAAATCATCTGATCTGAACACGTGAATATTAATAATAAAAAACTACTATTATTAATAAAGCACATGGAAAACGTGGAAAAGAAACACTAGTAAAACACCATAAATAATCTTATATATAATATAAGTCATTACAATTGGGGAAAAACCTGCACAGATATTTTGGTTAAAAGAAGTTAAAAGTGATAAAAGTTTGATTAGATATGAGATCTATATGTAACCTTTCATGCAAACTGTCCTGAAAAATTTACAGTTTATTGAAACTATTATAAATGATTGCGTTTTCTTTCCTTCTCATATTAAAGTGTGTTTTTGTGTAATGTTGTGTATTTATGTATTTTTAATGCTGTCTGGATATTGGCCAGATCTTGTAAAAGAGATTTCAATCTGAATGGGACCATTAATTACCTGGTTTAAATTAATAGGCTCATAAAAAAATATTCATATACGAATGTAAAAAGTGTACTGATCTATTAAAATATTCATGTCAGACTGAACAGAACGCTAGTTAATGCTCATGCAAATAGCTAGAAATCTATCATAAAGCTGAACCATATGTACTAAATACTGGTCTGTTAAACTGCATCTGATGTTTGTAAAGAAACACGTTTCTTAATCACATCTTAATAAACGGATGATTTCTGACCTTGAACGCCACCGGGAGAGTTTTGTTGCACCTCCAGTGAGACGGCAGCACTGAGCACAGAAAGTTGGGGCTGTCCGTCCGCACGAGCTCGGCGGGGTGGTCCGCGATGATCTCCACCATCGTCCGGTTGTCGTGCTGTCGGAGTCTCGGCAGCGCCGCGTTCTGCTCCTGCTGCGCATCGCTCATCTTCCCCGCCACCGGCTGAAGGCTGCTGGACGGCGGACTGAACCTGCGGCTGGTGCTCGGATCTACCGGAATGCGCATCACAACAGTGTCAGCGAAGGTAAGGGCACTTCAAACCGACACCAAACTCTGAGTTTTCGATTCAAAATAGATGAGCTCTATCTACGTAAAGTCCGTTTGGCGCTTTCCAGAAAGCGAGAAAGTTGGATAAGTTCGGTTCCCCTCAGGCTTTACGCGCGAGCTCTACAGGTGAATCGCGTGGAAAGAAACGCGCGGGAGCTCCTGGTTACGCTCTGAAGAAACACCGACATAGTTTACGAGGCGATTTTGCTTCTCCTTTGCTGTGACGAACGTCAAAATCCGGAATAAAAGCGAGTCGCTTCGCATTACGCGCGGCGCTCGCTCGGAGAGAGTTCGCTTCAACGCGCTTCTCAAAACGCGCCACCGTATGCGAAGTTAAAAAGAAAGTTAAGAGGTTTGCAAAAGCCCTTAAGACCTTTCTTTCTCCATGCAGAGTCTTTGTGAAGGGTTAAAAAGGTGATTCCAAAGGTTGTGGTTAGAAAGATGAAGACGCTGGAAAGCCGCAGTGTTTTGTCTCGTTGTGTGGTTTGTCTTAGGAGGCAGGGACTTGGGTGAGCTCAGGTTTTTTGTGGTTTATATATATATATGCAGAAGCAGGAGGATTATTATGCTGATGAGTCTTGAGCACGTCATGTCTCCAAGCACCATTTCGTGGCATCAAAATAAATGAGCAGTTCATTCTCCTCTTACCAAAGCAATGCAGCGAATATTATTACACAGAGACAATACAGCTACAGCAGCACAGTTGTGATTTAAAGATGTTTCGAGTTCAGCAAGGGTATAAAAGACACGTTTTAAAAACATTAAGCAAATTATTTAACATTTGATGGATTATTATGGCAACGGGGTGAAGAGTTTTCTTTGACTGTTCGCTAATACTGTGAGACATAAAGGCTCATAAAGAGACATAAACACAACTCATTCAAGCCAGACAGAAAGCAAACAAGCACAGAAGAGAAGTGACTCATTTCCTATTTCTAAAGACAGATAAAGAACCCGGGCTAAACTTAATATTATACAAAAGATCAGACAACAACAACAGCACAGAATTAAGCCACGACAACAACATTCATGTATATGGAACTAAATTAGTTTTTTTTTCTATGGCGCTTTGTTGACATTTAATATGCATATTGCTTATTTTAAACATATTTTTGGGTTCGTTATTTTTTTTATTTTAATAGGCTATGCAAAAAAGGAAAATGAATACTACAGAAGGTCAGGCAATAACAGTTAAAGATAAAAACGATATTAATAGCCTATTATTAATAATAAAGTACAAAATAATAATTTAAGTCATTGATATTTTCTAGTGATTTTTTTTAATGTACTACGCAGTTAGCCTAAATTATGTTAATATTTTTTAGAGGCTATTCATGTTTTATATTGTTATAATTTTTTTTAATGTTTTTTAAGCGTATGAATCTGAAAAGCTCTTTTGGTGGCGCTCTTTAACGTTTAAATTCGTCTTTTATTATGCGACGAGGGTAAACGCAGAACTACAGCAGCGTTCGCTTGCCACCGCAGGCTATTGCGTTATATAACCGTTAAAAACTCCATTACCCATAATCCCTGGCAGACCCGCGTGACGCCAAATAGACACGCGCTGACCAGTGTGTTTACATCAGAGACAAGTGGCTTGCAGTTTGAAAGAGCACATGTGGATGGATTGAATAATTCATAACATAAGGTAAAAATGTTCAGTTACTTAAACGTGTGAAGTTAAAATTCAGTTCTGGCCATTTGTTTATTTAGTCGGAACGTCAAGCGAAAGCGAGACTCGAAAGGTTCTGTTTGTTCGGTTCGAGTCACTGTTTATGTTTATATTTCATAAAGTGTGTTATAAACAGTTTTTACAAACATCATGTCTTTAATAATGTTGAAACATGCTATTTGAAATACTTTTAGCTGTTTGGATTCTCTGAAATTAAGTTGTTAGTTTTAGTAAATTTAGCTTTTTGACAGCTCGTTATAACAGCATGCTAAGACGAAATGAGCTCGGTTTTAGCGGAATGCTTATTAAGTATGCAAATTGATTGTGCTAAATCATAATTAATTATTCTAAAGTCCCGTGTGCCTGTATTAGTTGAGGTTTCATGCTCTATTCTTCCTCCACAGTCAATTCTGTGTTTTATTCTGGAAAAAATCACATCCCCACTCTTGTGTCTAGCCTGACTTTCCCTCATGTGTATTGTTTGTAAAACCTTGGCTGTTTGAAAGACTGTAGGAAGAGTGATGTCAGCTCTCGACATGAAGTCTGACTCTGTGGAAACTTCCACACACACACACACACACACACACACAGAGAGACACAGATGATGGAGATTTGAACGTGTGAGCCATTTCTCCTCCTCCTTCCTGTCCAAGTACACGTCCAAGAGCCTTTAATCTACACGTTTCGGTGTGAGAGAAATGGATTTCGCATGATTGCAGGTCTTGTGCAGACGCAGACAGACGCTGCTGTGTGTGGCGAGGACGTAGGAGGGAAATAAAACATCCAATGGCTCTGAATCGCATTTGCCACTTCATTAGGGCCTCGAGAAAGACGCGCTATTAAGTTACATTTCCTTCTTCGGTGACTGCGAGCGCCAAATATGTTTCTGATTTTCCCCCAGTTATGATGATGGTCTGTAAATTTATGAGACAGCTGAGTTGGGGTAATTGTAATTAATGAAAAATATAGTTGAATATATATTGAAACAGCATGTGGTGGAAGGTTGAAGTTGGATGTCTTGGATGAAGAAGAAATAAATATGTTGGAGGTCTTTGAATGCTGATATTTGTGGGCTGTAGTAAAAGCGTCCTTCCTCGAATCATTTTAGGTCACCGAGATTCATCCGTATTTACACGCTGTAGGACTACTGCTCTTGGCAAAATCGCAGAAGACACAAATCTCGTGCCCGCGACTAAATGAGTAAATTAACTAGGTGTCTGTAGAAACGACAAAAAAGACGTGGAAGCTACATAAAAGTCCTGACTATTTAATTACACAGAGGAAAATGCAATAAATAGAATGGCTCCCTTTTCTGTTCTTTCAAAGCCTTTTGCATGTTGAAGTAATCTTGATTCATTTGCCACATCTGAATTCGTTTTGCCCAGTATGGCGACCATCTGCCTTCACCAGTCAAAGCAAAAGCTTTATCTTTCATCCAACAGAGGGGGCGAAAACAGAAGGAAATTTTACGCCGGGATGTGTTTATTGAAGAAAAGGGCCCTGCTTTTGCTTTGGTGACACTTTGGAACATTTAGTTTCATGTCGCTCTGAGACCGAATTAAGATTTATATTGGCTCTGATTAAAGGAGAGCTTCGCTGAAAAATGACAATTCGGCCTTCGTATATTCACCTTCATGTCCTTCCAAACCCCAATGCTGTTGTTATTCTTGTGGGACGCCAAATAAGAAATTTTGAAAAATATCCTGGGCGCTCTTTGAAGCCATTTGGGACATATGATGTCAAACTCCAAAATGATTAAAGGTAGTCCGTATGATTTTGAGTCTTTTGAAGCCTTACGACAAGACTAAAGTCTTTCCGTTGCCCTAGCTCTGAAATCTCACTCTGCCTATTCAGACAGGAGCTTTGTGGAGATTTGAGAGCTATATTTTTTATATATGTTATTTTTTCTATAAGTTATATACTACAATATATGCTGCAAATATTTGGTATTATTATTATTATTATTGGTAAATTGTTTACTCCATTTATACTGAAAAGCATATGTATTTTATATTATTATTATTATCATTGTATTATTATTTTAGATAATAATGTCATATATTTTATAAATATTTTAAATTCTCTATATTATTGATTTTTGTGAATTATGAGTGTAAATTGTGTATACAATTTACACAGAAAGTTAATGAAAAATATATTTTTATTTTGGGAATTGAGTATACTTAATTTATACCGAAAAGTACAAATATTTTATATTATTATTATATTGTTTTAAATAATAGTATCATATTTATAGTTTTAGATATGTTGTGTATGATGTGTAAACTGTATAATCAATTAACACTGGAAATTCACAAAATATAAATATTTCATATTATTGTTATTTATTTTTGTGAATTGTGAGTGTACATTTTATGTGCAATTTATACAGAAAATGCATAAAACAATTGACATATTTGATATTATTTTGTGAATTATGAGTAAGTTGTATACTCAATTTATATCAAAGTATAAATATTTGATATTATTATGTTGTTTGTTTTAAATAATAATGTCATATTTATATTTTTAAATGTTTTGTGTATAATGTGTAAACTGTAATCAGTAACTGGAAATTTACAGAAAGTTAAAATAGGTAAATATTAGTAAATATTTTCTATACAGTTTATACTGAAAATTGACAATTCACACATTTATTATTATTATTATTATTGTGAATTATGAGTAAAAAATTGTATACTCAATTCATACAGACAAGTATGAATATTTAATTAATCTTATTATTATTATTATTTTATTATAAGTGCTAATTGTACACACAATTTATACTATGACAAGCCTAAAAGCTTTGATTTGTCATCTTTGATTTTTCAACTGGTGTCACTTTGGTTTGACTGTGATTTTGTTTAATTGAATGCGAGGATTAGCTGAGGTTTATCTGTGAATAACGGCTTAAATTTCATTCTGGTAGAGCAAACCATTATGAACTATTTAATGATCAGTGCACAGAAGTGACAGACTGCAGCGTTGATAGGGATTACGTCTCATCTACGTGAGAAAAGGGCCGTCCGCCTGTGAGATTTGATAGTCTGATGCCGTAGGAAGGCTGTGGTTTCTGAGTCACTCATGGCAGCTTCAGGTTCAAACAGACCAAGGGTTTGTTCAAATAAAGCTGGTGGGCCGTGACGACTCACCTGCCCGTGATTCCACATGGAAATCTTTTCACGCATTTGAATTCGACAAGCTCCATTTCTGGGCTTGTGTCAGCATCCTGTTAATTTGTTTTCTTTGCATTGGAGGAAGTCTAAC